TTTTTTTTTTCCAGTAAGGGGTTTAATATAGTTTATTTTTTTAAATGTGCTTTAAAATTTTTCCATCTTATTGAGTTAGGAAGTAGATGGAGAGAGTGTTTTCAAGTATTTAAGACTTATTTTAGGTAATTTAAGAGATCAAATTAGTTTAAAAGAACTGTGTGTGTGTGTGTGTGTATTTTCTCTCACATATAATGCTGATGAGAAAATGATCACTTTAAGGTACTTGGACACAATTATTATTATGTGAGTTAGAGTTAAGCAGGATTGACAGGATCACAAACAAAATAAGAAATATCTAAGAAATTATACATGTAGTTTTAAAGTCTATATTTTACTTATCAGGAAACATTTAAGACAACCAGGATCTCTTGTCCTATTCTTTCTCATCTAGATAGTCATTGAATGTCCAAAACACAAACAAATAAAAAAAAAACTACTTTTTTTTCCCTCATTTCAAAAATAGGGTTCCTAAGGAAAATAGATGGAACTTGAGAACATCATACTAAGTAAAAAAAGCTAGACTCAAAAAGTTAAGGATCCTGTGTTTTCTCTTACATGTGGAAGCTAAAGAGGAAAAATGGGAGGAAAAGAGGAGTGTAATCATGAACTTAGAAGGTGAACTACTAGAGTAAAAGAAAGGAAGCAGGTGAGAAGGAGACAACTAGGGAATCAAACTGACAAATTATGTTATGTACAAATATGTCCCCATAAATCCCACGATTATGAATAATTATAATGCACTAATAAAATTAAACTTTAAAACAAATAGAGTATCTGTTCTTTGTGTGAGAAGCGAATTAATACTCTGTATTTCCAGAAGCCATTCCCTCAGTGTATCCCTTTATTTAATAATCCTCAAAAACCTTTGTCTGGATGCTGGGTACAGCACTGAGCTTCCATGAAAACAGTTGCCAAATACATGTTAGAAGACTGGCTCCATTAGATAATTTAGGAGTTGTGGAAATGGCCGTATTTCTGCTACTTGTTAGACATCCCCACTGAGATGTTCCTCAAACAACACAGATCAAACTAAACTCTCCTGAGCTTGCAACTCGTTGGGCTGTTCGTGGGGTAGCAATGATTCTCTGTATACTAAGCACTCTGTACACAACACCTCATTTCATCCTAACCCCACCTCCCACACACACACACCCCGCAGGAAGGTCCCCCAGGCATTGGGAAGTCAAAGTGTGTGTACACAGACCCATCTCTGAGAAGCTTCTCTGAAGGACTAGAAAATTCTTTTTCAAGTGGGATAAAACAATATTCTGTACCATTCATTCTGACATTGCTTCTGGACCACACCGTTTTCCAGTGCTGTCCAGGGGCAGCTTTGTCTTGCTAGATGCCACATGCATAGTAGACACTTGTGTCTGCCCAGCAAACATCTCCATCCACATACCTTTTTGGAGTGAGAAACTGTCATTCAGAAAACTATTATCTTTCGGTTGATTTCAAAGGGGGTTCTACTCTTTTGTGATCCCAGCCCCCTCCCCAATCCTCCAGGCCACATTTTACTGGTTAAGAGGTAAATATGAGTCACTTCTCAGGGGCATTGACCTAGGGCAATCCCAACACTCA